AGTAGTTAATATCACAAACTTACAGTAATGAAATGAAATAGCCAAAGAATTAAACACAGCATACATAATTTACTAAAACTTCAGAAAAATCACAACTCTATATGAACACAAAAACTGGGAGTAGATTATTACCCTAATATCCATAATTTTGCCGATGAAGGATAGTACTACTTATTATAAAGCCAATCCACGATGTTCCATACTGGAAGAGAAAGGAGAAGGAGATCGGCATAAAATCGGGTCGAAGACCCCTTTCTATTCTATGTGACATCACACTGTTCACGCCAGTCCTTACTTCTCGCTGCGAACGGCTCCTCGGTGGAGGAGTAGAAGCACTGGTAGGTATCCATATTTGAAGTTGGGTTGAAGGAATTTTGAAGATTGTTGAAATTGAAGAAAATGTAAGAGGAGAGGTGGGGGGTTGTGCGTAGGGCAGAGTGAAGAGAGAGGAAGGGGAAGGTAATGGGTTGAGAGAAAGGTAAAAAAAAAAAAAGAGGAATGGAGAAGGATAAAAGTTAAAAAGGTATTTATACCATGTACACTATGTGTACAATGTATGTACGTTTAGCATTTTCGTATTTGCATATACCACGTATTAACACATTCATAACGTATGTTGCATAGCTTGGATCACTGTTTTCAACATAATATCTCGCTTAGCCTTTGACAGAAATCTATTATTCCAACTATGCACTCGATTAATAATCTGCTCCTATAAATAAATTAAAATTTCCTTCTTATTCCTCCCAATCAATGAAGGTAACCTCAGATAAGCAAAATTATTACCTTTTGTTCTCACGCCCAGACAATCACTGATGCTCTGATAGCCTTCATGCGCTCCTCATTTTGATTCAAACTAAACATAACAGTGGCTTTTTTTATAATTCATAATTTGTCCCGAGAAACTCTCATAAATATGCAGAATATTCTGGATAGCCTCACAATCTCCTTCTCTGGCTCTAAAAATAGAAAACTATCGTTAACAAAAAATAAATATGGTACCCTTGGGGCCCCTCTCGCCACAGCGATACCCAAAATGTTTCCCATGCTTTCATGTGTCCCGATCAACACACTAAATCCTTATGCTACCAAAATAAATAAAGCCCCCCTCCCCCACCCCGTCGAATTCCCCTGCTAGACGTTACCGGTCCAATCACCACATCGTCAAAAGGAATAAAATATTCCACAAAAGACATACATTGCACAACATCCCAATCCATTTCTCAACAAACCCCGTAATCCTCATCAATTCCTCCACATATCCTCATTTTACACTATCGTAAGCCTTGCTCACTTTAAATTTTAGGGCAACATAACCGCCCTTCCACCGAGTATTTCGTTTTAAATAGTGTAAAGACTCAAAAGCAATCATAGATTATCAAGAATAGATCTACCAGGAACAAAAGCACTTTGATTTGTAGCTACCAAATCATTAAGAATACCCTTCAACCTGTTTGCCAGGACATTACTAAATATTTTAAAAATCATATTACACGGAGCTATTGGTCTCCAATCCCCTATAGTTTCAGGTTTATCTTGCTTTTGAATAAGAACCGGGTTAATTTTATTTACCTCTCTAAGAATTCGTCCCGCCACCATGGTGTTCTTGCAAAATTTGACAACATCTTCCCCCACTCTCTCCCAATAATGCTGAAAAAAAGCCGGATTTAATCCATGTGGTCCCGATGCCTTGTCCGTATGCATATCAAACACAGCTTTCCTAACCACAATAACCGTAATTGGTTTCAAAAGGACCTGATTCTGCCCAGGGTTCACCCTTGCTAGTCGTGTCATCATACTCTCCTCTGTCCGAGAATTATTCGAGGTAAATAGGTCTGCAAATATTCTTGCACCATTTGCCTAAGTCTGCTACGATCGTATTCCCACTCACTGCTGGAAAGTCATAGTCCTTTCATCTGATGCCTCATGCTTCGCTGCTTTACAGCATTATGGAATAAACTTTGTGTTTTTATCTCCTCTCAGCCAAAAGGTATTAGACGCCGCTTCCACTAAATATTCTATCTTTCTAGGAGATTAACCAACACCTCTTTCACCCGGTTAAATTCCACTGCATTTCATCTGCCCCTTTCGCCCATAGACCCGCTAGCGTGCTCTTACACACATCATCCGCGTCTGGAATCCAACTCGCCTATTTTTACTCCGATGTTGAAGTTCTACTCCATACCCATTTAGGCGCTGCCATATATGCATACTGTCCGAGCTGTTCCATGCCCGTATTACTTCCCATGATTCATTTTCCAGGATCCACATATACTCAAACTTAAAACTTTTCCTCCATTTATTTCCGCCCTCCCTACTGAGCCAGATAGCTAACATGAGATGCTCACTGCTAGGCCCTTCCAGAGACGTGACCCGATGTTCCCCAAACATGGAAATCCATTCCTTGTTAGCAAGAATCATATATTATGATTATTCGAAGACACGGTTTCCAGTAAGACAGAGGAAGAGCGCAGGCAAGAGTATATTTTCTCGAGCAGATTCGCACGCCACTACTCAAGAAACTGGGGGACTTGTGTTGGGAAATATTGTCCTGGTCTATTACTGTTCAGGAGCCCAATATTTTACGTAGTACGGAGCCCAATTAGTACGACCCATTTTAGCCTATAAGGCCTGTTTCGGCCTTTGGGCCCATTTTGGCCCATCCGGCCCGTTAGGGTGGAGAGCCCACCTTCCCCCTTTATCTATAAATAGGTGGAGTTCCCTCCTTATCAAAGATCATTTCCCTTCTTCTCCAACTCATTTTCTTTTCTCTAGAATAGCTTGCAAGACTCCATTAATGGGAGCTCAACATTTGTACATTGTAATGGTAAGAGTCCTAATGAGAAAGAGAGGGCTTGGACATTAGCCTAAAAAGTCCCGTGGTTTTCTCCCTTTCGGATTTCCACGTAAAACCCGAGTATTCATAATTTCATACACATTTATACATATATTTACTATATCGTGTTGGATTAAACTCAACAGCTAACTTGAGAAGAATGACAAAGATTGAAACCATTATTTTTCGTACATTTAATTAAAAACTTAGTACGTAATAAATCAAGAACAACTTGACCAGGGTGACCTAGACGTTTGTGCCAGATGTCGGGTGACACAACAACAAGAGAAAAAGGAGTGGTGGTGGTGGACACAGCATTGCCATTTATTGGATATAGCTCCCCGAAACTATTGCATCCCATAATACGGGTCCCCGTAGTTATATCCTTCACAGAAAAACCAGCAGGATCAAATTCAACAGAAACATTATTGTCAGTAGTGAATTTACGGAGAGACACAAGATTTTTGATAATATGGGGGGCAACAAGGGTATTTTTGAGATATAGATTGCGATCGGGGAGGGTTAAGGTTTTGGTTCCACAGGCAATAACTGGAATATGACTACCATTCCCGACTAAAATTGAGCGAACACCACTATTATTAAAAACACTAGACAAGGTACCTGGATTAGCCGTGAGGTGAGATGTGGCCCCAGTGTCCATGCAAAAAGAATCATCCGGCTGTTCCAAGGATAAGGGCCTGACCCTTATCCTTGTGTAAGTCAAAATTAGGATGGCCCAAATGTGGACCGGAAGAGGGGCGAGAGCCATGCGGCCGCTGTGGAGATGCGGACCAGAACGAATCCAGCAAAGACGGGTACAGGCATGGCAGAATCGACCAGTAGGGAGGCCAAACAGATGGGTAGCCGGGAAAATAAGGTGACTCGACCTGAGAGACATACGGCGAATAACTGCGGCCAGGGTATGGAACGTCGTTCGAAGCAGGGTTCGAAGGTCGGCAAGCACCATTATTGTTGGGGAATCTTAGCGAGCGTCCGCGGCGACCACCGTTGTTGTTTGGGAATCTCGGCCCTGGCGGGCGATCCTGAGACAGGGCCTGTTGTGAGGATACGGTGAGTGCTGCAGCAGAGCTGTTGTTCGGTGATTCCTAGGCGGTTAGAGCAGTCGATTGGGCGGTTGTCTGTTGTTGGGCCCGACGCTGCTCCTCCGTACGAAGTTGAGAGCATGCTGCTTCGAAGGGAGGCATAGACTGGCCGACTGGGAGATGAAAGAAGCTACTGTGTCATATTCAGGAGGCAAACCGTTGACTAGCTGAATGACCAAGCATTTTTCGTTCATAGGAAAATCAAGATCCTGAAGACGGTCAGACATGGTTTTGAGTTTGTCACAGTAATCATCAACGTCCGAACAGTCCGTGAATTTTAGATTGACAAACTTGCTTTCCAAGAGAGCTGCACGGGTGCCTTTGTTGTCTTGGAACAGAGTTTTGAGGCGGTCCCATAGGTCCTTTGCGGTTTTACCGGATTTGAGAACGGTAAGCATCAAGTCCTTGGACATGGTAGAGAACATCCATTGACAGACTAGGGCGTCAAGTTGTTTGGCGGTAAGACCGTCAATGGTGCTAGGGGCAGCAGTACCGTCAGTGAGGAACATGAGGTTATGAGCCTCAAGATGAAGTTCAAACAAGAACACCCACGAGGAATACTCATCGTTTTTTAGATCGAGAGTTATGGGAATATGTGTTTTGATATCTATATATATATATATAAAAGCTCAATCGTGAGAATACTCAGCACAATCTGGCCATTGAAAGAATACACGTGTTAACAGATGCTTAAGTACAGTTTTCCTCAAAACATACACCTCCGATCCGTTCATCCGGAATATTATCAGGTGCAAACACGTGGCAATCCACAATGCTTTCATGTATAGAGGTGGGTCGGTTAAATCACTAACTTGCACATATACTTGATGTGGCAGTTCCACTATTCAGTTTTATCTCACTCGAAACTTTATATATATGCTGCCATCAAATGAAATTCAAGCTATCAGAACGATAAGAGTGTATAGCAGTATATTACTACACCTTTTCAAGAATTTTTTTTGACTTTAAGCTTTCTTTAGTTTAAACGTGTGTGTATATATATATATATATATATATACTGCTATATATGTATATATATATATACACGGTTATAACTTATAACTGCAACTACTCAATTTCTGGATATTCTGGTGGCACAATTAATAGCTCCATGAAAACAATTACGTAGTACGGAGCATTTTACATGGTTGAGAACTTGAGATCCAAGCACCAGATCAGTAAGCTCTTGGCTGGTGGCATCCACATATCACAGTGTTCTGACTTCTTGAGGAGGCTTGGAAGTTGGAACACCCCCTAACCCCTTTACAATATCAAGGCGGCGTACCTTCCCGTTGTCGTCGTGTCTCCCGGCTTTTCTGGCACTCTTTTATCATTGGGAAATAACGACATCAGATCCATTGGAACACAGCAGGCTGCCGAGCTTATTGTATAAAGCCGTGAGTGGAAAGGTCAGCAGGCTGCCGAGCTTATCTGTGTTTGGATGGGCTGTTTAACATATGGTTTGATGCGTGTGGTAGGCTGTGAAAAGTGAGTAGTTAGTGATGCATGCGCTGGAAATTGCAAATAACATATTATACCAAAGAAGATGAGGATGATTATTAATTATTATGGCTACTCACAACTACATTATTACTGTATATATAAAGATATGTTGCGGCTCTTCTCATTACTTACTTCCTTTTTTATTTTGCAATTCTACTGTTTACTATCACTCAAAACTACGTACTACCTCCGTTCTTAAATAAATACAACACTTTGACTTTTACACTATTCACATGTTCAACTTTGACTACGTTTTATTTATTAATGTAACAATTTTTTTTTATGAAAAAAATATTGTTAAAATTGTCTCGTGTAAACTTTTATAATCTAATTTTTTTAATTTTTTTACTAATACAAAATCATATATATTAGCGGTCAAAGTTGTGTCTCGGTAAGTGTGAAATGTTGACCGTTACATTTATTTAAGAACGGATGAAGTACTATATAGATAAAAGAGATGTATAATGAGAACTGGAGAACAAATAGTAAACATATGAAGCGAAGTATAAGGCCGGCATTGGGTACTGGGGAGGTAGGATATGATGTTGTCATCATGTCAATTTCCTCAATGAAAACCAAGTTGAAATGTATTCCGTATATTGTTTGGCTACTATACACACAAGTAAATAGGTATACATATAAAGAAACTTTGACTGTGTAATTTTTTCTAACAAGCTGCTCTATTTTTAAAAGTGACAAGTCAAGTACCTTTTAAAAAATGGGGTACCGTACCTATCATTTATTTGATTGGACCACATCACTTTATCATTTTTAATTTAGATTTAAATAATTCAACTGCTACATTCTCATTAATACAAAGATATGGTACCTTTTGGGTACCATAGAATCTACCATTTTTAAAACGTAATTAAGTGTCAATGGTTTCGTTCTTTCTTGTGGAACAATTATTATGAGTTCACGATATACTCCGTATTAAATATTTTATTTTCTCTTATTAAATTTGACTTTCCTATACAATAAATAGATATAGGTCAGATTCCTCCCTTTAAGGTTCTCACTTTCCCATTTTGAACGTATCACATAAATATTCTCATTTCAATTCTAAAAAATAATTAACATTATTAAATAATAATTTATTGATCAAATACTCTAATTAATGTTACGAGTATTAATATTTTAATATTTCCATTTTAAATGACCCCACAATATTACATATCCATCAAAAACATTTCTCACAACATACTCAAATTACCTTATTTGATTATTGTTTACACAATCATGCAATTTTTATGATGTGAACTTCAAACCGGGACAGTAGTATAATATTATCATTTCAAAAATAACATGCATAAAATATAAAAATAATGTGTCCCGTGCATCGCACGGGTGCAATACTAGTTGGTGAGAGTAAGGGCAGGATGAATAGGTGTTCGGGAAGAGGAGGCTTCTTTGGTCATGGTGAAAAAAATGCAGAAAAGAAACACAGGGAGAATGGACCGATTTAGTCTGATACCATATAGGAGAATGTGTAAACTCCCTTGAGGAGATGTCTTTACATTATGACTATTTATACAAGAATGGTGAGAGTATACAAGAGGATTATGTGGGAGTACTTACAAGAGGATTATGTGGGATTTACAAATCAACTAATTTAATACAAATCATCTAAATAAGGCTAGATATCACATCAAAATATGGTAGACTATTACCGAGTCCATGACTAGTCTGATCTAAGTCTAAACAAATGGAGGCATGGGGTCAGAACCATAGTTGTTACGACGGGGTTTTGCGGCGCGGCACCTTTGGACTGCCATACCGCTAGGGGTGGACTCGGGTCGGTTCGGGCCCGGGCCGGCGGTTCTGGAATGGGGGGCCCAGAACCGGCCCAGCTAATCCCCGGGTCCGGGTCGGGCCGGGCCTCGAACCTTTGTTAATTTTTTTTTCTTTTCCTAGTTAATCCCCCACCCCCCAAACCACCCCAAACGGCCCAAATTACCCATCCCAACTCAAAAACTAAAAAAATTGAAAAAAATAAAAATAAAAAGGCCTGGAACCGGGCCTGAACCGGCCGGGCCGGTTCATGATTTGGGGGGCCCGAGCCCGGACTGGAACCCCCACGGGTCGGGCCTACCCGGACCGGTCACTGCCCGGGCCACCGGGCCGGAACAATGCCGGTTCGGGCCGATTCCGAGTCGGGCCACCCGGCCCGAGTCCAGGCCTACATACCACCATGGCGATATGGCGCCTGTCGTGGCGGGGTCGCGGCGATAAGTCGACATATACACTAATAGTTCATAATATGTTTTACATACTAAAAAGCCTACATGTAACACTTATAGCCAACACTACTAAGGAAGTAAATCAAGTAATAAAATAAGTAATCATATAAATAACATAATCCATAAGACCATAACCATGATATATAAAATTAAAAAAACTACTGAAATTTATTCATTATTTGGGGAAAACTGAAATTTGTTTTCATAAAATTGAAACTTTTCTTTAAATAGTAACAGTAGTACAATACTAACTTTTCAAAAACTTTTTGACTTTCTATAAAACAGTAACAGTTCATCACATCAAATACAACATTAAATTCAAATCATTCAACAAAATATTAAATACAATTTTGTTTTGAGAAATATTAAATACAAAGTTAAATATCCAAAGTTGGATGATTTTAAACCCGCGTACCCAACTGGAGTAATAACTAAACAAAAACGAATCATATAACACACTAAAGTTAAAAGTAAAAAAGTCCAAGTCTAGAAAAAAATTGAAGAAGTAAAACTGCGGACCATTATACACTGCCCAATTCCCAATACAGTTTCATCACCGGTAAAGTATGGTCATTAAAATACCGTTGTTTCAATGTTATAATTAATTAATTGATTGATTAATTAATTAATTAATACTACGTAATATGTATCCTTCACAGCAGATTACCAATTAAAAGGGAACAAGGGATACTCTACCATCAACCCATCCGGTGCTTTTGCACCTTACCAAGTACATATCTGCCATCTTCATTCAATACAGCTTCCACACGCACACCCCCGCTAATATCAAGGTTCTTTCTTTTCACAGTAAGTCCGTATGACCGTTGATTCAGCATCAACTGCAACAATATTTTCCATCATATGAAATTAGTAAGTAACTTGCACATAACCTTACCCCCTCCCTCATCTAAAAACACAATTGTATCTGCGAGTCATTTACCGAATTATATCGCACCATATACTCTTTAGAGCCCTTTTCATATCCTGAAGCTATCAGCACATCCTCTGCAGCCTGAATATGCGATAGAACAATAACAACAAATCAACAATAGCAGCAGCAAAAAGCTTGAAGGATACATTGCAAAGTACCAAAGATGTTTATAAAGAATCATAAAAGCTCACTCACTTTTGTATCATTCACACTAGTAATGTAATAAATAAAGCTCTCCAACCCGTGATCATCAACATCCACACATGCAAGTATTGAACCCATGTCCTAAATCATTAGCAAAGTAATTCTTTATGTTAGTCTCTGATTAATTCAAAACGTTAAGCTGAGAAAAACAGTAGGAAAGAGAGACTTTCAGTTGTTGTTTTGTTTGGGGAATTCTAGGAGCCGGACTTTTGCTCGGGTCCAAGGCACAAGTAGGAGGAGGATCAAGCTTTGTAAACTCAGAAGATTCAGCAAGCATGGTTGAAGAATCCTCTGCCAGTCCAATCGACCGCCTCTTGGCATCTCGATTTTCTATAGCAGCAATTATAGGACTTCCACTCCTCTTCTCATGTGCAGAAAATTTGTGAGACGTTTCATTCTCCTAACAATACAATCATAATTTCAAAACATTTCAGGCTTTCAGCTTCAAGATAAGACGATAACTACTGGAATTAGCCATAGAGAACCGTATGTTGAAAAAGAAACTGTAAGATCTCAATTTAACAAATATAGTTCACGAAATTTAGATTAATCATTAGAGTTCAAAAGGCTGACAAATTTATAAAAGAAACAGAGCTCTACAATCTAACCAGTTAGTGTTTACATAAAAAATGCTACAAAAATATTTAGACATTCTTGAGTAACCCACATTTTACGATTTGAAGTTCGGACATGTTAGGGAAAAAGAGTATTTAACACAAAATGTTATTCCAGCTCTCACATGCATACAACGACCTGATAGTTGACAAAATTAATAACATTAATTGCAATATTAAAATTTCAAATTTTTATTCATAAAATCATTGGTAAGAGTATTTGGTCCCCGCTCTGTTCCCATATGTGCAGTGGCGGAGCCAAAAATAACAAGTTAGAGGGGCCAAAGCTTAAGGGTATGTTTGGGAGTTGGATTTTGGAGGGGAGGGGAAGGTTGACAAGGGTTTATGACCCTTCCTTTCATGTTTGGGCGTTTAAAAAAATGGAGGGTGGTTTTGGAGGCTTTTGTAACACTCTAAAATCTCCAAATGCTCAATTTTTAAGTTCCCCAAATTGGGGGATTTTGAAGGATAACTACTTAAATGACAACTTTAAATAAATATGAAGTCAACTATCTGAATGTATCATATATGTGAAGTGATTTTAATTATAACTCATCTATAACCTCTATCTTTTCAAAAATTTACTCCCAAATAAGAAGAAGAGTTTCCTCTTCTCTCCCTCCCCTTCTCTTCTATGATTAACCTTCAAAACTTTCCCCTTCCCTTCAAACTCACAAACATACTCTAAGGAATTTATATTGGAGGGCAAAACTTAAAATTTCACTACATTACTACTTACAAATATTTATACATACGTATATACATAAATAAAAACACTTGGGGGCGAGGCATCCGCCTGCCTCCCCTGTCTGACTGTCTCCACCCCTGCTTATGTGTGTTAAGATGATATGCAGCACCAATGTGACGAAAATAGACATAGCCAATAGGTATTACCTGATTCATTTTCAGTGGGAGATTCGAGATCCTGGACTGAACAGAGAAAGAATCACACGAAACGTCGATCAAATACATGGAAACAACGATTACGGAGAAGAAAGAGTACACATAAATCCAGAGAAGAGATGCGATAATACCTTCAATTAAATCTGCACTGAGCAACCGCGGGGTTAGGGTTCCTGCGTACTCAAAACGTCCAACAATGGATATTAGCAAAACAGTTTCCGCAACCGGACGAGTTGATGTGTGAGAATCTGGGGCCATGTCTCGAGGATAGTTTACATCCGTCGATTCCTTGCATGTTTATGGAAAGTAGCTTTGGCGCACGTTTTCTCGTACTGTTTTCAATTCTCAAACTCAAAACCTTATCCAAAAGAATGTTTATTCAATTCTCGATTTGATAGGACACTTGAAAGTTGTAAATCAGTACAATTCAGTGCGCGTTAGAGGTTGGGCCCATTTAGAGGCCGAACTTTACTCCGTTGATCCTAATTTCCCAATACTCGTACGGCCGGTGGTACGTACATCCGGCGGTTTAATTTGCTTAACATACAGTTCGTTCGTTGCTTACTCATTGTTTTCAGTTCTTTGTTTTCTTTTGTTTTATTCGGTAACAACCTTTTTGTTTTCTTTCGGTTCTTCCTTTTCAGGTTTTTGTTTTTTTCTTTATCAATTTTTTTAATTTCAAATTAAGTTATCATGAAAATCTATAATATAAAATATTACTTAATGTTCCTGATTTTCTCTTTTTCCAATCAACTTTCTAACATGGTTTTTTTATTTGTGTAATATAAAAAGTTTTAGGTATTGATTTTTTATTTTTCTATTTTTTTATTTTAATTATATATCTTTATTAGTTTATTATACATTGTGTTTTAATTACTCAATTTTGTTTTATACAAAAATGAGTATAGTGTAAAATAAATGTGCATGAGTAAACATTAATTATAAAAAAAACACGATTATATTTGTAATTCAATAAAAGAAAGTTTGATGTTCAATGAAAAATGTTTTGATGTTTAATTAACAAAGTTTGCGATTTCCATATCAATGCTCTTTTTGTAAGTTATGTATATACTCATTTGGTACTGATGTTATTCTCATTTTAAAATGTTATATCAATCCATATTTCAAGAGTAACATATTAAATTAGATTGAATTAGGAGTTAATTACAGATACGAGAGCACAGACCATGATATTCAATTGCATATTTTTAATACTCAATAGAGAAGATTTGATGCTCAATGAAAACGTTTTGATGATCGCTCAACTAAAAAAACTTATGATTTTCATACTAATGCTCATTTTATAATTTACGAATGCTCAATCGGTACTCAATTGCACGCTTCTAATACTCAACAGAGGAGGTTTAATGCTCAATGAAAAAATGTCTTGATGCTCAACTAACAAAGCTTATTATTTTCATATTAATGCTTATTTTGTAAGTTACATATGCTCAATCGATAATGGTGTTATACTCTTTTTAAAAATGTTATATCAATGCATATTTCAAAAGTATCATATTACACTAGATTCGCATATTGAACTTCATAGAGATTGATTGTAGATATAATTTAATAAGTTTCTATAAAAGAAAAAATATAAAAAGATTGTCAATTAAAAGATATGAAACAGAGATTACGATACTCAATACTAGACTCCTAACACTTAATATAATTGGTTAGTGCTAATTAAAAGTTCATTTAACAGAAAGCGTTATTTTTATCTCAATATAGGAGGTTTGATGCTTAATGGAAATATCGTGACGCCCAACTAACAAACCTCGTTATTTTCATATTTATGCTCATTTTGTAAGTTACATATGCTCAATTGGTACTCATGTTATGCTCATTTTTAAAATGTCATAACAATGCATATTTCAAAAGTACCATATTATATTCGATTCACATATTGAAATTCATATGAATTGATTATAGTTACAATTTAATGAGTTTTTATAAAAGAAAAAAAAAAGAAAAAAGAAAGTGAATTACAATGTATGAAATTGATATCACATTACGCATTATTCAACTCTTAATGCTCAATAGAATACATCTGATGGTCATTAACAGTGTGTTAATGGTCATCTATCGAAAATAACGATTTTCATTGATATTATAAAAATGCCACCGTTTTTTAGTTGTGATATCAGCTTTGTTGTACTCACATGATGCTCATTATTGGATGTTAAATACTCATAAACATTGGACTATTGCTCATTGAATGTACATTAATGCTCATTTAGCTAAAGCTACGATTTTTTGCTTGAATTACAAAAATGCCACCAAAAATAAAATGACTTATATTAGCTAATGGAATGTCCTTTTCAATTGGGCTGGATGTACCAACATCCGGTTGTAGGATATAGGTACTCCCAACTGAGATACCCATGTGGGTTCAAACTCAAAACCTCTTATGTGGGAAAAACGATTTTTTAAGGAAAATTTGAAAATAATAGTCTCAACTATTACCGGTCCGTTATTAATAATCTCAACTATCGATGATTCTTGGATGGTCCCAACTATAGAGACCATTTTTTTAAAATAGTTTCTAACCTCTAAAACCCGGTATAGCAGATCAAATTTAAATGTGAACTATGTGCAAGCTATAAATAATCTCAACTATAGTCGATCTTCTTTTATTAATCCCAAATATCAAATCTCAATTTAAAAAAAATATAAAAATATACGGAGTATTGTTTATGATTTTGTTGTTGTGCTAACAAGTTATGATTTTGTATTGTTTTCAAAAAGTATATTGTGATTTAGAAAAATTACGATTTAAATCTTTATTCTAGATTTTTTATGAAAATCTATTTTATTAAAATTTTATGTTATCTTAAATTTTTGAATGATAAACTATATCTTATAATTTATAGAATATAATAATAGAAAATAAAGAAAATAGAAAGAAATTACAAATACTAAAATGGATAAAATAAAAAAATTAGATTTTTAGAATTAACATAGCATAAAAATTAAATAAAATATATTTTCATGAAAAAAAATAGAATAAAGCTTTCAATCACAAAAAGATTAGTCACATTTTACTTTTTGAAAACACAATCTCAATTTGAATAAAGGAAAATACTATCAAACCATAATTTGTTAATACAACTGGGAATAATAAAGTGGGAAAAAGCAGGAAAGCAAAAGAAAGTTTAGTGAAAAAAATGACTAAACTATATTTAACTTCGGTACGTTTAGAGAATTAACATGATAACTTTTACATGTTTAAAAATATTTAATATGAAAATTTAGATAAATATTTTTATATTTTTCTAAAATTGAGAGTTGATAATTGGGATTAATAAAAGAAAGTCAACTATAGTTGGGATTGTGTATAGCTTATGCATAGTTCACATTTAAATTTGAACTGTTATATACCAAGTTGTAGCAGGTTATGGACTATTTTTGGAAACTGGTCTCTATACTTGGGACCACCCAGGAATAATCGATAGTTGAGATTATTAATAGCAGATCGATAATAGTTGTGATTATTATTTTCACTTTTTTATACAAGAAAACTGATATATTATTAATTAATTCAAACTTTCAGTGTATAGTTGAGAGACGATACAATCAGGAGGATAATAAACAATATAATAAACATCCGACATAGAAAGAGCAGCTTAACTAATTTATGAGCTACCATATTTGAGGATCTCCTACAATGCATGACTTCTATCGTCGCTTCATGTCGAAGACTAAGTCTTACTCCCTCTGTCCTTTAAAACTTTGTCATCTTTCCTTTTTGGCACGGGCCAAAAAACTTTGTCACGTGCCAAAAATCTTTGTCACTTTCCCTTTTAATCAATTATTTGGTGATTTCTGTTACTTCTCTCTCATCTGCACAAATCTCAACCGCACAGTTTTTACTTTATTATTCTCCGTGTCGGTCAACTTTGACAAAGTTTTAAGGGACGCAGGTAGTATACCTTTTATTAAAATATCAAATGAGTCCCCATCACGATCCACCATTTCTGATAATGTATCAAATATGAGTCCCCATCACGATCCACCATTTTTTATTCCACCGCTAGTGTCTTTCCAGCTTGACACTCTTCCATTCATGCGTCTTTGCCTAGGCTATAGTCTCTCCAACCCAGGGCCGGTCCTAGAATATTTAAGGCCCTGTGCAAAATTAAGTAAAAGGCCCCATATAAAAATTTTAATTTAAAATTTAATTAAAAATTGATATCCCATGAATAAAAGGAATTTGTTTTATTCATAAAAGTCAATTTTACAACTCAATTTGGGACTGATGGAGTAATTATATATAACACATGTAGTGAAAATAATAAACTAAAAAATACAAAAAGTAAGTATAAAATGCAATGAAAAACTTATTTTGATTGCTAACAAAAAAGTATCATAATAAAATAAATCCAAATTAATAAGAATTGTAACTATAATAAGGAACAGGGTAGTATAGTAAAGTAATAATACAAATAATAATAATGATAATGATGATGATGATGATGATGATGATGATGATGATGATGATAATAATAATAATAATAATAATAATAATAATAATAATAATAATAATAATAATAATAATAATAATAATAATAATAATAATAATAATAATAATAATAATAATAATAATAATAATAATAATAATAATAATAATAATAATAATAATAATAATAATAATAATAATAATAATAATAATAATAATAATAATAATAATAATAATAATAATAATAATAATAATAATAATAATAATAATAATAATAATAATAATAATAATAATAATAATAATAATAATAATAATAATAATAATAATAATAATAATAATAATAATAATAATAATAATAATAATAATAATAATAATAATAATAATAATAATAATAATAATAATAATAATAATAATAATAATAATAATAATAATAATAATAATAATAATAATAATAATAATAATAATAATAATAATAATAATAATAATAATAATAATAATAATAATAATAATAATAATAATAATAATAATAATAATAATAATAATAATAATAATAATAATAATAATAATAATAATAATAATAATAATAATAATAATAATAATAATAATAATAATAATAATAATAATAATAATAATAATAATAATAATAATAATAATAATAATAATAATAATAATAATAATAATAATAATAATAATAATAATAATAATAATAATAATAATAATAATAATAATAATAATAATAATAATAATAATAATAATAATAATAATAATAATAATAATAATAATAATAATAATAATAATAATAATAATAATAATAATAATAATAATAATAATAATAATAATAATAATAATAATAATAATAATAATAATAA